AACTGGATACAAACATTCTGAACAAAATTATTTAACAATTATTTCATAATTAACAAATCCCTTATTTTATATTATATTGTATAACATTGGGTACAAACATTCTGAGTAATACAATTACAATAACTAAGTAAATCTAATATATAACAATTATTTAGTAATTATCAAATATACTTTATTGTATTAACTTGATACAAACATATTACACAAACCAAATGATTTAATAATCATATTAATAATTAATCAAATACTTTATTATATATATTTTAGGGCCAACAGACCTAAGCATGAAGAACACGAAACCCTTGCTGAGTCATAAATTGAATGCAACGGAGATGACCGCAGTTAGGCAGCTTATAACCGGATATCGGGAATCAGCAGCCTTTTTATTAAGGTCCGCAGATGAGTTGGAACAATTGTTGCTTCAACAACCATAGAGTTACGTTTACGTCGGCAACGTTTAAATAAAACTCATCATAAAAAGAGTTTTTTTTCATTCCGTCGTCGTCGTCGTCGTCGTTCATCATCGTTCATCGTTCATCGTTCGTCGTTCATCCAAGAAAAAGAAAACAATTGTACGAACAAAACCAGAAAATGGACGATTTTTGTCAACAAAAAACATCAGAGACAACATTGAGAGAAACAATTATAGGGAGGACTTAAGGGGGTGGGATTGGAAGGTGTTTTTTTGATGGTGTTCGTGATGGTGTGATGGTGGTTATCGTCATCAAATAGAAAATAAGAATATACTCACCCCCCTATCCACCCCCATACGTGTCGTCTGCCTTCCATTTTCTCTTGCTTTTCTCTCTCTCTCTCTCTCTTATTCTCTCATTCTCATTCTCTCTCACTTTAACTATTTTTCCTCTTCACTATATTTTGTCTTTATTATTCTATCGGGGGGAAGGGGGCCATGGGGGACGGGGGCGGGTGGAGGAAAAAGATAAAAAGGAATTAATTGATGATGCAAAATCATTTTCTCTCCTTCTGTTTTTTAACCCCTTGTCTCCCCCCCATCCCTCACCCCAATACACACCCCGTTGTTCAAACAACAAAGAAATTTCTGCCAAGCTAGGAAAAGAGAGACAAAAGAAAAAAAAATACATTTTTTGTTTTTGTTTTTTTTTGTGCAAAGAGGAATCTCTCTGGTTTTACTATTACTACTGCTACTACTGCTACTATTGCTATTATTATTACTACTATTACACTACTATTACTACTATTACTAATCTTATAGAGAAAGAATAAGAAATTTCTTTTTGTGTGTGTGTGTACGTAAATGTTTCTCGCGAGGAAAAGAAAAAAAGAAGAAAAGAAAAGAAAAAAAAAAAGGAATGAAAAGAAATAATAAGAAACGTGTTGTTTGTTGATGGATGAAAATTTACAGAAAAAAAAAAGAAAGGAAAAAGGAAAATAAAAATGAGAATACAAAAAAATGATAGAGAAAAAGTAAAAAAAGAAGAGGATTTGTACTGAGAGAGAGAGAGAGAGAGAGAGAGAGAGAAACGAGGAAAAACAAAATGGAAAAAGAAAAAATTATTATATTTAAATAATATATAATATAAAAATAAAATCCAATAAGAGAGGAGAGAGAGAGAGAGAGAGAGAGAGAGAGTGTAAGGGAAAAGCAAAGCGAAGTAAAAATAAAATTTGACAAAGTAAAAGAAGCAAAAAAGATAAGAAAAGTAAGAAAGTAAGAAAGAAAAAGGTAAAACAACCAACACAATTAACAACAACTAAACTTATCTTCTACGGATATTCCGTTTAAATATTTGTTAAGTGCATACACGCGCCTGACTAATTCGAATGAAGTTATGCAAGCTTCTTTCGAATCTTCTTCTTCTTCTTCTTCTTCTTCTTATTATTATTATTATTATAATTACTTAGCACTTAACAATTTTAGATTTAGACAATTATTGTAAGAATACAAATATTACAAACAGGGTGTACATACAACAGAGGAACTACAAGACAAAAATATTTACTTAATTATTATTATATTATTATTAATATAATTAATATTATATATTATTATACATATATAAGACTTTTTGAAAAAAAAAAAAAA